AAGCAGGACACTTTGAGGAAATTCACAATCACAAAATGGTTCAATGGTACGCTGTGTAGCGTCCAATGCATATTGGCGACGATGCGACATTTTCTATTTTCTGGAATGTTCGGTATATGTACGTTAGTGCCTATGCTCACAATCAAAAATCTATGAATGGACGACTAATATCTAATGTTGGCCTAGAAATGCACAATAACACACACAAACACGTAAGCATGCACGCACGCAGCGAGTGATCATTTACATATGTACGCGTGGAAAATTCCACACAAGCACTTTGCCGGAGTTGGTGTTGTGGTTATTAGTTAGCGCCCGCACAAAAAACTTTATAACAATTTGTAACAGAGCGTTTTTATTTTGTCGTCAAGGCTCGGTCCAAGTTAGCTAGCTAGTGCTCGTCACCAATTCCGTTGAGCGACTGTGCTTATGCCGGTGAGTTGACTTCGGATGAAACTTTGCGGCTGTTGGTGTTGATTTCACACGAAATTACACACATATATTATCTCTGCATACGCTTCGTAAATTGTAAACAATTTATACGCTAATGTTTAAACAAAAAAACCAGCTGTTGATTGGTTGTTGATTCAAAAAGCTATTGGTGCTGTTGGGGGCGAAACAAATGCGCTTTTAATAAATAAATAGGAATATGCGTTCACAGCTGTTTATCATTAATAGCAACTCTGCGTATGCAATAGCAGAGAGGTTAGCGTTTATCGATAGCGTGCACTATCGATAAAAATATAGCGGCCGTTAAGATCGGGAGAAATATGCGTGAAATAGATAAATGTGACAATATCGCAGAAGTTTTGACTCCACATTTTAGGTTTCAGGAAATTTTGGCTTTTCTTACAAAAAACATGGAGCCGCAGGCGAAAATTTGGAATAAATTTTCTCTTTTTTAAAGTTTTTTTTTGTCACTAAATAGAACTCTCCTTTCTGTTTTGCGAAGAAAAGGGGCTGAACACCTTTTGCATAGAACACCTTTATAACCCTCACTAAGTAGAATTCTCCTTTCTGTTTTGCGAAGTA